GCCACGGTTAGGTGCGGAAACGTGGGGGTTTTGGGGATTTTGGTGGAAAAAACACAGGAATTTTGGGGGAAAATGGGAATTTTGGGAGAAAAAATACAATTTTTTTAAGAGAAATGGGAATTTTTTTGAGAAAACATGCGAATTTCTTTTGATTTTGGAGTAACCAGCAGCGCGGCGCTGTCCCGGCTGTGGCTGCCTGAGGGAAGAACGACGGCAACAACAGGAAGCCACGTTTGGCTGCGGAAACAATGGGAATTTTGAGAGAAAAACAGGTTTTTGGGAATGTTTCTAGGAAAAATATGGGAATTTTGGGAGAATATGGGAATTCTTTGGGGAAAAAATTCGATTTTTTCGGATTTTGGGGGTGCCTCCAGCGCGGCGCGACCCCGACTGCCCGAGGCGACGCAACGACGGGAAGCCACGGTTAGGTGCGGAAACGTGGGATTTTGGTAGAAAAACCCAGGAATTTTGGGGGAAAATGGGAATTTTGGGAGAAAAAAATAGATTTTTTTAAAGAGAAATGGGATTTTTTGGGTAAAAAATGCGATTTTTTTCGGATTTTGGGGGGCGCCTACAGCGCGGCGCGACCCCGGGCAGCTGCGGCTGCCTGAGGGAACAACCAGAACCCACAGCTGGGTGGGGAAACAGTGGGAATTTTGGGTGAAAGAAGGAAATTTTTTGGGAAAATGGGAATTTTGGGAGAAAAAATTAGATTTTTTTAAGAGAAATGGGATTTTTGGGAGAAAAAATGCGATTTTTTTCGGATTTTGGGGGGCGCCTCCAGCGTGGCGCGACCCCGACTGCCCGAGGCGACGCAACGACGGGAAGCCACGGTTAGGTGCGGAAACGTGGGGGTTTTGGGGATTTTGGTAGAAAAAACACAGGAATTTTGGGGGAAAATGGGAATTTTGGGAGAAAAAAATACGCATTTTTTTGAGAAATTGAAATTTTTTGGGGGAAAGATGCGATTTTTTTTTTATTTTGGGGTGGCACCTCCAGCGTGGCGCGACCCCGGCTGCGGCTGCCTGAGGGAACAACCGGAACCCACAGCTGGGTGGGGAAACAGTGGGAATTTTGGGTGAAAGAAGGGAATTTTTGGGGAAAATGGGAATTTTGGGAGAAAAAAATAGATTTTTTTAAAGAGAAATGGGATTTTTGGGGGAAAAAATTCGATTTTTTTTGGATTTTGGGGGTGCCTCCAGCGTGGCCCGACCCCGACTGCCCGAGGCGACGCAACAACGGGAAGCCACGGTTAGGTGTGGAAACGTGGGATTTTGGGGATTTTGGTAGAAAAAACCCAGGAATTTTTGGGGAAAATGGGAATTTTGGGAGAAAAAATACAATTTTTTTAAGAGAAATGGGAATTTTTTGGAGAAAACATGCGAATTTCTTTTGATTTTGGAGTAACCAGCAGCGCGGCGCTGTCCCGGCTGTGGCTGCCTGAGGGAAGAACAACGGCAACAACAGGAAGCCACGTTTGGGTGTGGAAACAATGGGAATTTTGAGGAATTTTGGGAGAAAAACAGGGTTTTGGGAATATTTCTAGGAAAAATATGGGAATTTTGGGAGAATATAGGAATTTTTTGGGTAAAAAATGCGATTTTTTTTCGGATTTTGGGGGAGCCTCCAGCATGGCGCGACCCCGGCTGCGGCTGCCTGAGGGAACAACCGGAACCCACCGCTGGGTGGGGAAACAGAGGGAATTTTGGGCGAAAAATGGGAATTTTTGGGGAAAATGGGAATTTTGGGAGAAAAAATTTGAATTTTTTTAAGAGAAATGGGATTTTTGGGGGAAAAAACGCGATTTTTTTCGGATTTTGGGGGCGCCTCCAGCGCGGCGCGACCCCGACTGCCCGAGGCGACGCAACGACAGGAAGCCACGGTTAGGTGCGGAAACGTGGGATTTTGGTAGAAAAACCCAGGAATTTTGGGGGAAAATGGGAATTTTGGGAGAAAAAAATATGCATTTTTTTGAGAAATTGAAATTTTTTGGGGGAAAGATGCGATTTTTTTTT